GCTACCAGTTCACAGTCATGCAATCACCCCAATATCAACCGTAGCCATTGTCTTAAAAAAAAAAAAAAAAAAAAAAAAAAAAAAAAAAAAAAGAGACTGCATTGTATTTTGATTGCATCATTGCCTGGAAAAAAAAAAAAAAGAGTTCATGATCATGCAATTCGATCTCAAGAGTGCACCTGCGCAGTGGGCGATGAATGCCTTGCTCAAGGATCATTTGGGCCGAGAGGTGGTGGACCTTGCAGGTGGGCGAGCAGAAGACGAGACTTGGGAGGAAAAATGTCAGGCTCGAAGCTCATGGTTATGCCATTTATTTGGGCTGAGGAATGCACCTGCAAGCCAAGAGATGACCTTTCGGGCCCTCCATTTGGGCCCGAATTGCACAAACAACCCACCTGGAAGCCATGACTTGCTCAAGGATCTTCCGGGTGGGCCCATCCCGTTCGTGGAGGTGTGCTTGGTTGGATGATATCTTTGGAGATTGAGAAACAGATTGAGGCCGGTGTTCTGACGGCCCGGCCAAAACACGTGTAGGGTAGTTCCGTCAGCCGATCTTCAAGCTATGGCGCTTTGCGCTTACCTCTTTTTTTTTTTTTGTGCTTCATTGAATATTCTACGTATTGATGCGCTCGGGCGTTTTCTCTCTCTCTTGTCTGCTCTATGTCTTGGTCTTGTTTCATCTGTGGCGTGCTTGCACTCGCTTGTATGTTGCTCAATCTGGTCATATCTTTGTGTTTAGCCCCGTCTACAAGGAACCATTTGGATCATCACAAGAATGCATTCAGGTTGCTGAAGGTCTAAAGATTTCCCAGCACGCGCGTTGCTCCCCACGAATATAGATTGAAGCATCTTTGTTGAGAACAAAAAGGAAGACAGCAAGCAAGCAAGAAAGAAAGAAAGAAAGAAAAAAAAAGTGTAGTGACACAAGAAGAGCATGTTTCAGGAGGACGAGGTTCTTCCACTTACGGCACGCCATCTCTGGGGTTATTGGAGTAGCAAAGACGATTGACGTTGTTCCAGATTGGCAACAACCCAAGAGCATAAAAGGGTGCGCAGCCTTTTCTTGGCATTGTTAGTTACCACAGTCGCTGCACTAACTGCGGTAACAGTGCGACGACCATAGCGGATCTTTACAATAGCGCTATAGTCATCGCACTGTTAGTGCAGCAAGGTACCGCATTGTTAGTTACCATAGTCGCTGCACTAACCGCAGTAACAGTGCGACGACTATAGCGGTATTGTAAATATCCGCTATAGTTGTCGCACTGCTCGTGCAGCGCATCGGAAAGGGTACCGCATTCACGTAGACAGAGCAGTATGAGGGGTCCTTCCGGACCCCCTCAATGGCTCTGCCTCATCAACGAGGTGCGCCGTATTAGGATTGATGTGTCGGCTTCTGCAAGGAAGATGAGCGATAGCGAACTTCAGAAATCAAACAGCATCATACACATAAGACCAGATAGTCGTGACCTCGAACCAACAGCAGAATTGCATCACGAGTTTCACCAAATAAGARCACACCAAGAGCTCATAATTGACAATGCTGAAATAGTCTCATCATCATCATCAACGAAGAACCAATGTTGATATCCTATCTGGCGCTCGGCGCCCAGACTACAGATGGCAGATCCTATCTAGCCTACTCTACAATGCCGCCGGATGACGTCAACAGCTTCACCGAAGTACGAGCAGATCTCGGACAACGCCGTCGCTTCTAGCACCAGGTATGTCTCTCGTATCACTCACAACCTTGTTCCCCAACTCACAGATGCCACTTGCACCCAAGGACCACCCTGCGCCACACCCAGCCTACAGCAGCGCAGCTTGGCTATGGCTGCCTGCTCATTCCAGCTCGCCCGTGAGCGCGTGAGCGCTGGCCAGCTTCAGCGCAGCAGCGCTTGCGCAGCATGCAGCCAGCACCCGAATGCCCCCAGCGTGGGCTTACCCTTTCCTATATGGAAAATGGCCAGCCTGCGTGCGTGCAGCCTGGCTGTGCTGGGCCTCTGCCCAGAAGCTTCCGGTAGGCCCAAGGAGGCTGAGCTTCAGACCAAACGAATTGGCCCAGGGCCACCGACAGTTACCTGTGCCCAACTGCCCACAGCCTCAGCTGGGCCTACGCTACGAATCTCGCCCAGGGCCGGACTCAGATGCATTTGAAAAAAGGAACCAGGGCCCGGGGCACTGTCCTCTTGATTCTGACGTGGTTTGTGAGATTGGACATAGGTGGGTTTCTTGTAGTAGTATGATGTGACAGTCTGGTTTCGGTTTCTTCTTGTCTGTGAGGCCCAGCCGGATGTCTCGAAGTTTTGTCTTCCTCGATCAGAATGATGTTTCCCACACTGTTGACGTTCCAGCTGTGGATCGTCAGCCATTTGGTTTGCCAGTCCATTCCGGGAGTCTCAGTCAGTGTCTTTTTTTTGTTGCAGTCCATTGTCTCAATCTGTTTCGGGACACTGGGTTTAGAACTTCAGATCCTGACCCTTTTTTTTTTTCCTTTTTTTTTTTTGCCCTTTATGGCCCTGGCTCCGTTTTTTTTCCCTTTA